TATCGTCCCCCAATAAATTAACATCATCAGCATATGCCAATAGCTGATGTGTCCCATTCAATTGCAAACTCTCCTGCCTATCTTGGACTTTCCTGATGGCATATTCTAGCACAAAGTTAAAGAGCAAGGGAGACAAAGCATCTCCTTGTTTTAGACCGTTCTTGATGAAGAATCTCAGATACATATTTACCTACTCAAATTTTGCTACAGGTTTCATTTAAGCACATTTTTATTTGACTCACTAGCTTCTTTGGTATACCAAATTCAATAAGAATATTATATAACACTTTTCTCTTCACAGAATAATTGATGTGCAGTCCCACTGAACTCCCATTAGAACTGAGAAAAGTAAACAACAGTAGGGAACTAAGTTAATATAACCATCACGATAGAAATATGTGGCATGTAGTATATATAACTCACTTTCCTCCTTCTTCCTCTTCGAGGCAGACTTCTTCTCTTGCTTTGGTTTGCGAGCAACTGGCTGGGCTGGTTCCAGCTCCCTCATTCTCTTCAGGTGGAATGTAATGAAATTCCACATGAGCCAGGCCTGAAGTATGCAAACAGCTGCAAGCGCTGCTATTCTAAATTGAGAGAAATTTCAATATGTCACTTTCAGTTTCCCAACTTGCCTTAGTTTTTGCCAATAACATACTTCAATAGCAGTGCAATATCTACTTAGTTGAAGAGCATTAACTCCATATATTCGCCGACCTGAACGACTGGTTTCAAGTCAATGAACTCACCTTAAATTTTGATTAGAGAAACGTCATGAAATTTACTACTAACAACAAAGACAGGTAACAATTTTAACACAGCTTAAGAAAATAAAACATTTTAAGAATTATTAACAACTAAACTGCTTTGTTCACAAAGTGATAACTTAAAAAATCACATTTAATATATTATCCCCAAATTATGTGCCATGATGTTATATGGAATTACCTTCTCGGGAAATTCAACAGACAGCAAAATAGTGTCTCGCAGAGAACCATTTAAGGAATTTAACACATTCTCCCCTTGCAACTGAATTTCTACTCTCATTACATTTTTTTTTTGACAACATGGAGAAGATCCAAAGAAACTCTGACATACATAGCATAAATACAGGGCACAAACATGATCTCACTCAGTCAAGCACTGACCTCACTAGTTAATAAAAAAGCGTGCTTACAGTGCAGGGATCAAATTATTTGGTACTCTTCCAGACAGAATTAAGAGTGAAAATCATATGATATAAAGCATTGGAAGATTATCTTTTATCTCACCAATTGAAATTATTAAATACTGTAAATATTTACGTAAATAGATGTATTAAGAATGCTGCTTTGATATTTTTTGTACCAAGTGTTCATATTCATCAAACATGTTCCACATTATTGCTTGTACTATAAAGAATCTATGAAATGTAAAGAAATTCTAATTCCCTTCAAATTTGTGATAAATCACTGCAGTAAAGTGATGATAGCTTCTTTATTATACAACAGATGCAGTAGTATAACTACAGTGTCCCAAAGAGATGTGTGAACACATTCAATGAATGAAATTAGGACATTTCAATAAACTAAATCAGCACTGGCACTTCGTGAATTAGTGAATCTAGTGCAGGTGTTTAAAATGACCAACATCAGCTCTGTCGAACAGTTGACGGCAGGGAGCAACTGAGTGACAGGCAGCTGCCAAAGTTGCTACTGGGACGGATGCACAAAACAATTCAATTTCTTGTTACAGTTCTTGCAGTGATCCTGGCTTTGTGTTGCACACTGTGTATTTCAAGTAACTCCACAAGTAAAAGTCAGGTGTATAAAGAACGCAGTTTAAATAAGACTGTAGAGTCACTGTTCATTCTTACTGAAAGCAATCATAAATGTAATTAAGCATGACTCTTTTCCAGCTGAAGTGGTCCTACACTAACGTCAAACTCAGGTAGCAGAACCTAAAGGTTCGGCACCATAAATACTAGAGCCTGCTCTTGTACATGAACCCGGGCTATATCTGCCAGGAGCATTCCAAAGAGTATGCCAACTTTTGAGGTCTCTGTAAAACTTCACCCGGCTCATTCTTTATCAACATACCTGATGATCTGAGTGTTGAAGTTCCCACGTTCAACGTCCAGACCCTGGTTGTCGCTCAGAGACAAACCATACCAGAATGTAAGGACAGACAGAATGATAGAACCCAGACGAACCAACACAAAAACTGCATTTGCTACCAGGTATCCAGCTAAAAGAAGATGCATATTAAAAGCACAATCAGTTCATAACATTAATAAATTTGTATTAATAAACATCACATCATAATCAATTCATAATGTTAATAAATTTGTAATATTAAAAATGTATATTTAATTTATACCCAACAACTTATAAAATCTTTAAAATCAGTACCTTTACTGCCATTTTCAGCCTTGTCAAGGAAATAGATAAGTCTTGCGGCATGGAACAGAGCTTCTGATGTATAATGCAGAACCACAAGGCAAATACCAACACGGGAGAAACTGAAAACACAGAAGCATAGAGTTGGGGAGAGTTCTAACGAAGGGTCTTACACTATACTGTCCACCCACATTTCATTAAGTCCAGGGATAAATACCACCAGACCCCAAGGGGTCCTTATAAGTGCTGCTTCCTTTAATCCCTCTCTACCGCATGTCCTTTCCCCTCCTTCTGGCCATACCCTGGTATGGCCCTCTCTCCTATTGCCTCTTGGGCCCTTGCCCAATCCTGATCCTATTCCCCACTGGTCTGTTCAAGGTTCTGCCTTGACTTACTTGTTACCTCAAATCAATCCCATGGCTTACTCATCGCCCTGATGATGGGGACAGCAAGGACCTCTGAAATGTTGGTAAACTTCTACCAGATTACATTGCTACAACACAGAACACCGCCATCTTAGTACTCAGTGCCTTAAGAACCTCAAATTCTACTTGCTTGGGACATGAATATAATTTCACAGCTTCAATTAAATCCTCTGTTGAGTTGGTGATACATTCTCAACATCAAAATGAATCAGCCATGACAGACACCAAAAAATACATTCGTCACACTTTTGAAACAAGTGCTTCCATGTGGTATGCAGGAGAACTGTGTGCGCAGCAGTACTGAAATACGCCATGACAGTACCACAACCCACAATCAGCATCAATGCTATCATCTAAGATTGGACACGAACTGAAACTGAACAATCACTGCCATTGATGCACAAGTGAGTCACAGAGATCATGCTCCAGATGCTGAAACAGCATTGCAGTGTTGATTATTCCTTCTATAGTCGCACTCAGACCATGGTTCAAGTTATCAAATTATGTGCATATGGAATTTGCTGTTACATCAGTCCTTTATAAGTCATGGGAGACAAATCTGGTGATTCTTTAACTCAAATTCAGGTCTTTTAAGACCAAACACAGTTAAGGCATATGGCACTACGTATCACCACGGCTACCACAAACCCCATTAGTGTGAGACAGCGATGTCTCTAATCATCATCTTACACAAATGCTGGGCTTGTGCATAAATCATAAAAGTGGTGATATGTCTTCAGAGGCTCTACAAACTTGTACTCTACAACATGCATTATTGGGGTGAAGATCAAATCGAGGACAACATGTAATGAAGATGAGAAAGTTGTAACAAAATTTTAGTCACAGAACCTCAAGAAAAGAGACCATCAGGAAGACCTGGTTGTAGATAAAACGTATTAAACAGACTGTTAAAGAAACAGGGCATGAAGATTTGAGTGCTGTGAACTCAATATGGGTGTTCAGCCCCAAAATATCCTGCAAAATGTCCACCTGATACAACACCATTTGTGGGGATTCCTTAAGCAAGTCCATTTTGTTTTTCAATGCATGTAATATGAGTCATATTAAATGCAGAATAGTTACTATAAGGTCTCAGTCACTACACTATCTCAAAACTAAAACTAAACTTATTTCTGAAGACAAATATCATGTAATTACATTACTTGCATAAATAAACTAGTCAGAACCTGTCTCATGCAGCATTTTCATTTGTGCCTGCTTGTTGGGAAGCAGTTTTAAAATTTTTAGAACTACAGCAGAAGTCTTAGCACTGACTTACCATTAATTCAGTTCATTTTGAACTTGGTGACAAAGCAACTTCACAAAATGGTTACCACTTATAACATTTTTTTAAACATGGGCTGCATTTACAGTTTCTAACTATAACATACATATTGTAACCTAACTAAATCCCAAAGCATGTCACTGAATTTGAGGATGTTTGGCTGCTGTGTTCGTAACATAGACCTATAGACCTACATGATCACCATGTTGGCTGCCATGTTTCCTAGTCGTACAGGCACACCCGCCAAATATCATCACAATACAGATGAGACCAATGTACCTAAAATAACTCACCACTTTATTCTACAGCTATAATAGTCTTCTAATATTTTATATTTGCCCGTTGTTTTGTATGGGTGTGAAACATGGTCTCTCACTCTGAGGGAGGAACATAGATTGCAGGTGTTTGAGAATCGGGTGTTGAGGAGGATATTTGGGCCTAGGAGAGAAGACGATGGGGTCTGGAGAAAACTGCATAATGATGAGTTTAAAAATCTGTACTCCTCCCCCAGTATTGTCAGGGTGATTAAGTCAAGAAGAATGAGATTGGCGGGGCATGTAGCGCGCATGGATGGGACAAGAGGTGTGCACCAATTATTGGTTGGGAAGATATTTTATATTACACTCACTTGAGCAGATAAGCACCAAGGATATATATTAGTCCAAGAGTGGCATATGTTATGCGTGCTGGCATCTCTTCACGTTTTGTCTTCTGCAAGTACAGTTCTGGATAGCAATGTAGCCAATATGACAGTTGGACAATGAAAAAGAACTTAAACATGAAAACCATTTCATTGTGAGGATAGCCTTCCCATAAAGATGAGATATTCAAGACATAGTTCTCCCTGAAAGAAAATAATAATATTATAATTAAGAAAGACTCAGAATTTTTATATCAGTGACAAAGAACAATTCACAAAGATGTTTACAACTAAGGCATACCTGAATATCACATCTCCACCCCAGAGAACTGACATTACATAAAAGATGAGAAGTTGGCCAGATTCATTAAACTTGCTGTGTTTCACTTTAGACAGATGCAGCTTACGACTGATTTTCTGCAAATTTAAATATGACAGCCATTTTAGAAGGCATATTTTGGTAAGAACATATACCTTTCAATAGCACATCTTCAAAACACATTGTGACTCAACTTACATCGAGGATATATTCTTGAATGATGGCATGCATCACAATGCAGATGAGAAAATAAAAGAATACAGCACAAACATCTTTCCAGCCATAGGTGTAACGTATCACCTCAGGTGCTTCACTTATTACACCATCTTGCTCTCTAGTTACATTGTGATGAACACCAATGAACATGTATGCAAAAGGTGATGTTACCTAAAATAATAATGCAAAGAACAATATATTTTGGGAAAAACTAAAGATACAGAAGCAACTACTACAGCCTGCCAACCTACGATAAATTTCACTGAGAATGACTATGCTATGAGGGGTAAAAATGAACAGAACAGAATTTATGGACATTCCATACATCCTTCATAGCCAAGGTAAATTCTTCTATGGAGTATAAGTGAGATAGGAGATTTTCTTTTGGGTGTAAAATACTTATTTCCTGCCTGTTGAATTTCCCCAGAAAATAACCCCATGTAACACGATCAAATGGAAACAATGAATAAATGAATGAAGTACTAAGAAACCAAGTCACCCACTCACAAACCCATGTGCAGATGAACACCAATTTATCGATTAAATAATCAATATTAACATAACCCAACCAAACACACTGTACAATAAAAATAAGAACTGTAACTGCACGATTTATGAAAATGACAAAAAAACCAACATAAACTGTGAGAAACATAAAAAACGTGTATCAGTAACTGCTACATGGGCAGTGGTTGGGTTGTAGACAATGCATGCAAATGGGACATTAGAGCTGCTTTCGTTCTGTTTGGCGAAATTTCAACCAGTTGTCAATACGACCAGCATAATTCCTTACAATGGAACGTAGTTCTTAAACTCGTTTCAATAGAGCAGTCAAAACAATCTGCTAGGTATAAAACCTACTGGTTTAGAAAAATAAACTTTAAATCTGCAAATTTTTCATTTAACTTTGACGTTCTTCATTGTTTACCTACTCATTCATCATATTTATATGTAGCAAAAGTGGCTGTAGCCTTACCTGGACCATAAGCCCAATTACAAACACCATAGCAATACATGACACAATATCTGCATGATTCTGAATAACAAATTCGTGACTTAATATTGGAGGATTTTTGCTGGAAGATTTTCTACCCTTTAATGCCATGTTTGTTTACAAACCACCAGAAACACTAGAAAAGGATAATTCTGCTGTATATCCAATAACACCAAACCCTTATGGACACCAATAACAACAAACGTCAGCTGTCAATACCGGAAGAAGAAGGCATCCAACGTGCCAACGTGTTGGCAATGTTGGCACGAGTATGAGTCATAGTGAATGTGTATCGATTAAAAACGTAACACTAATACAGCTCTCAAACAGTACTTATATTAACAATAAATTATAATATTTATTATAATGTGTGGTTCTATTGAACTTGAGAGTGATGACAAAAATTAAGATTTTGATGACCGTATTACTGACCAGTTTTTTATACAAGTGTTGACCAATAGATGTCTCAGTTAAAGAGGTGTAATTTATGTCGTCAAAGAATATATATAAATTAAAAATGTATATGTGCATTGTAGGATATCCTTCAATATTTATTGTATGATATATTATAATTATACAAGGAAAAATATATTTAAAAGGGCGTGGTTTAAATTTTCTAAGAATTTGATTTTGTGGCACGGAATTGTGGGATATAGATGGCGATATCTTCATGACTGAAACGTGCTAGTGGTATAAATGTGTGCTTGTTAACACTTTAAGAACGTGTAAGTACCAAAAAAAATCATCCTTCTTAATTGTACTTTATTGACCTGCAGTTTTTCAAAGTGTGTCCGCGAGGTGGTTTGCATAATGTGAAAGGAGCTAATCTGCGTCATTGTGTGATTAACAGTAGTATAGGTACGCCTAACCCACGACTAGATAAACACGTTTTAGGTGGGTTTTTTTTTACAGATATTATGTGTTGTAAGTGTTCTGTTCGCTAATCATCAAGCACTATTGGAGTCTTGTCTTCGATGTTTTGCTTAGTAACCGAACGTAGCAGTCGAGAACTTGGCATTCCGTGTTGGAGGTACCGGGTTCAAATCTCGGCCAAAAGACCATCTATTATGAATTTTTCGTGGCTTTCCTCAGTCCTTCCAGGCAAATGCTGGGATATCACCTTGAATTTGTCCACCGCTTTCTTTCGTTTCCCTCCCTATTATTTAAACATATCATTGTGTTATATGCTGAGTTACTGTCGTCGTCCTATAAAGAAAATGTTTCGTTTGATCAGTAATATGATTTCCCATCATGGGAATATGTTTAAGAAGCTTGTACGTTAAGGAGCGTACATCAATTGTTTACAGATTTCAAAAAAACCTATATGACCCTGTTAAGAGAGAAGTGCGAAGCAATATTCTCATTGAATTTTATATACTAAAGCAGCTAGTGAGTGTAATAATAATGTGCTTAAATGAAACCTGTAGCAAAATTCGTATAGGTAAATATTTATTTGTCTCATTTTCCATCAAGAACAGTCTGAAACAAGGAGATTGTATAAATCTTATTTAAAATGTGGCTGGGAGGAAGTATCCAAGAAAATTCAGGAGAAAGTTTAACAAATATTATTATTTATGTAATCTTAAATGTATAGAGGCAGCTCTTGAAATGTTAGTTGTATACAGCCACCTATTGCAGCTGATCGCCCATGAAGACTTATTGACTATTAGATGTGACTCAGACTACTAGAAAATTAATTCCCTCATTTTTACATTCTATAGAATGCTCTCTTATGCAAGTATTGATGCTTTGCAGCAAACCTAACCTACAATCACTGTTTCAGCTGCATTAGGCAGTCCCACCTTTCAAGACCTGTTACCTTATCCATCTTTTCTTGGTAGCAACTTTTAGGATGCAGTCATCAATGAAGGAATTTAATTGAATTTTTTGGGGAAGTTTAATAAACCTGCTAGAAGGGCTGTGGAGTCAGCGTCGGTAAAAATGTACTGACTCTGATATAAAATGTTAAGAAAATACCATTCTAACACTTTCGCTACAGTGTGAGCCATTGGCTGCCTCACTCTTAGGGAGATTCAATGATGCATTGGGCCACATGGTGTGGGGATAATGCTTTGTAACTTTGGCTCTGGTACCTTAAGAATACAAACTGTCTACAAATCAACCAATTTCTGCAATAATCATTAGACTTATATTTAATATAGGTTATAAATCAAAAGAGTAGCCTGATGATTCACGTGGTGATGATGAAATCTCTTATGGTACCATTTACCATTTTAGTAGCTTTACCTTTATTAATACTGTAACGTGGGCGGTATGCTACCTTGATTGTCAACCCTGATTTATTCACGTCAAATTAAATCAGTTACAGAGGTCTGCACATACAGTCAACTCTCTGCCACAACAACAGTATCCGAGTTTCTGTTCCCTGTACACTCGGTGCTCTCACACGCACCCTCCGGCCAGTAGCACCCCACTGGTCACACGCTGGCTCCTCGGCCGCCACGGTCCATGTACCCGGTGCTCTCACACGCAGCCAACCTGTCCTTTCTCAGCGCCACACCAGACCTCTCGTTGGCTCCACTCTCTCGACTCTACCACACACTTCTCTTACACCCGATTCACAGCTCTGTACTTTCCACACTCATCGCTTGTCGCTTGCCACCAATGTCCGCAACAGCATATTGCTTGCAACTCACTTCTACATCCTGACTCACACCTCAGCCCTTTCCACATAATTGTCAATCGGCTTTTTAAACAAACACAACAATTATAAACTAATACAACAATGCCAAATGCAACAATGTCATTAAACAGACAACTAAACTGTTGATTGACATTGTTGTGCTGCTCTCACAGCAACATGTCACAATACATATTGAGCTTTTATGAAGGAGTCAGAGCTGGAGTCAGAGTTTTTAGTACCGACTCCACAGCCCTGCATGCTAGGCAAACAAGTTCACATTAATCAGTTATTTTATTTACCAAATTTGTGGATTTGTAAAATGTGTTATGCATATATAGTGGCTATTTTTTCATGGATGCAGGGGACCCATAACGTGCTGGGTGACTGAAGACTGAGAACCATTGGAGTATATTACTTTAGTTTGTGAGTTGCGTTTATACACTTACAGTAACAGGCGACTTTCTCTGGAATTAGATGTGACTGATATAAGGCCAGTATTGATAATATTCAGCAATCAATGAGACATATGATTATTGTATGCCTCAATAATTGATATTGGCTATTCTCTTTGTCTTATGCTTGATTCTTACTATAATTATTCGTTATGCTTAAATCCATGCTATGAAGATGGAGGGGAGGGGGTGCATAGGTACAGCTTCACACACTCTTAACTTTTCCCTTGGAATGTTCTCATATGAATGGAAGGACATTGATTTGTTACAGTAAATAATCGCATCAAATATGGGGGACAGCGAAGATGAATATGATAGGAAGCGCCGTGATAAGTTTCGTGGAGAGAGAACCGAGTCTTACCAGAGAGGCGAGGGCCGTCGAGGCGGAGCTGCTGAAGAGAGGCGGCGGGAAGAATGGATAGAAAGGTAAGTGTCTTGATGTAATTAGCTTGAATCACTGCTTTCTTCTCAGTGCGGGTGTGTTTCTCTATGTTAAACTTTAGCATGTAGTGTTTGTATTTTGTGTATAAGAGAGTGTTAGTAGTTAAAGATTAGTGGAATACAGTTACTCCTCCCAATCGAAATGTGCATTTTCCTGATTGCTTACCAGCATGTGATATCTCAGGCCCTGCAAAGTAAAATATGTTTAAATGGTTTCCCATGTTAAAGAAATGTTTTTCTGTTGGATTCTATTAAGGTCTATTCAAAACATACGGTCTAACAAAATCTGTCCCCGTAGGGCTGAGTAGTTACGCCTGGATAGACAGGTATAGCAGACTTAGTATGTGCTTCCAATGCATTTTAAACTGTTTTAAAAAGTATGTAGTGTAAGTATGCAGGAACACTGACATGGAATAGTAGCTGGTATGAAGGTCTCGGCGTTACTCAGCATTTGTGCATTTTGGCCATTTTCTGCTAAGTGTTTCCTGCTTTGCAATTCAGTAACAGGGTTTTGTATGAGCTCCATGTGGCCGATACTTTCCCTTTTGATTCGTGTTCCTGGTTTGGTTGATGTATTTTCTGTGCTTTGGCAATGGTGACTGCCTGGTGCACCCCTCTACCTTTATTACTCTTCTACTTCCATTACCATTTCTGCATTGATACACCACAAAGAGTGGGGTGTGTCGGTCTGAGGAGAAAGAGTCTTCATTGTGGAGCAAAGGAAATGAGAGGCAATGCTTTGAAAGCATGTACAAATAGCAGGTATGTTTCCTGTGATATTTTAATTTTTATCAAGTATTGTGTGGAATTATAGAGAAAAGTGTACCGATTATTCGCACTAGCTCAACAGAGAGGAGATGAAGATGACTTCTTTCCAAATCTCTTAAAGATGTTGAAGAATTCCGTAACTAATTGCTGTCCAATAGTAAAATATTCCCATTTTTTGAGTGAAATTTTTGTAGTTGGCTTCTGGTAGAGATTGTGTTTCGAATCTATGAATGTGTCTACTAATTTCAGTCGTATAAGTAACATTGAATGTTGACAGTAAACAAAACTGGCCCAGAAGCAAATTTAGAGATAAACAAAGTATATTTTTATGTCTCATCAGCAGGATACATGATACAATCATAAGTTTTAGATAACCAATAAATTCTTTGAAAATTTGAAGAAATTAATTTTCTTCTGAACATGAGTAACAAATCCAAATTGTATTCTCAAAAATATTCAAAGGAGACAAAATTTTGTTACTCTTGCAAGCATACGGTTCAGAATTCTTTGCCTATTATCTAAAATGTACAGAGTAAAATATATTAAACTACAATTTTGCCTCTACTGTCTCCATCTTCAAGGCTGATGATGGAGACAGTATGATTCTCTGGAATGGCATCTGCTGGCTGGTACACAGAACTTTATAGTTTGTACTCTTTACCAGATATTAGGATGATCACATCAAGGAGGATGAGGCACACACATCATGTGGCATACACAGGGGAGATGAGAGACTCAGTACAAGGAAGTTGGAAAGTTTGAACGAAAGACACTACATGGAAGACTTACCCGGTGTCCTACGTGAGCGATTAAATGCGAGCGGTGCGAGTTGCGTGGGTGAAGCGGAAATATCAAACTGGCTGTTTGTGCGGCGCTGTCCTATGTGACAGCGAAGCGTTCGGCGGCCAAAGTCCAAGATCAAATATTTTGATATTTTCGCGCAGGTCGCTGCGCTGGCCAGTAAGGCGCATGCGCAGAAAAGCTCTGACTGTGCATGCGCAGAAAGACCATGTGCTTCTATTGCAGTCTCTCACGCAGGACACAACAAGCGATTCCCTCATGTCATATGACACCCCATGCTGCTTATGCAGCTCGCTTCTTATCGCTTACCTAGGACATTGCCTTAGGCATATGTGACAGTATAATACTAAGATGGATTTCAAGATAATATTGTGGCAGGATGTTTACTGGATTTATCTGGCTCAGATTAGGGGCGAATGTTAGGCTCATATGAACACGGTTATGGATCTCTGGTTCTCATAGAAGGTGGGGAATGTCTTGAATAGCTGAGTGACTATTAGCTTCTCAAGAAGTAGACTGCTTAATGGAGTTATTTTGAGTAATTAGCTGACTTACATTTTACCTGCTGTTGCTTTTGTGTGTAGAAGATATGTTTGTATGTTTAATTTCATATTGTAGAGGCTTTATGTCCTTCAAGTTTGATTTAGTGTTGATTTTTCAGGATGCGGAGGTGACCACATGATTTTCTTTAGAATTATGGAGTTATTCATTTGTGTGTTTGCAATGCTAAGAAGACTGCCCTCCTGCTGGGGGCAACTGATTGTATGAAGCTGATCATACTAGATGCTCATGTATTAAGGCACCTAACTGAGTAATTAGGCTTCTTGCTTTGTATAAGAAATGTCTTCAGAAGAGGGTGATGTTACATTGTCATTTATCAACCATAAGAAGATGTGAGTGCATTGAAAATTGTACTCTCAGAGCCTTCATTACTCCCCAGGAACCATCACAGTCTGCTAGAAATTTTAATTCATTTAATCGAATGAACAAAGAAATTTTCACTAAAGTAATTCAGTAGTTGGCCCAGCGATTTCCAATGATACCAACTGTAGGCAGTCAATAGGTGTTGACGGGAGATTGTTGACAAACGGTGTATATGGTGGCATGGGGTGATTTGTTCTAATGTCATGGTTGTATACTTATACGAGGGTCGCTCATTAAGTAATGCCCCACATTTTTTTCCTCAGAACATATTTATTCAAGATGGCTCAAATTTAGTGACAATATAAATCAATGTTTCCTTTACACATACTATTTTTCCACATAGTCCCCATCAACTTGTACGGTTTTACGCCAGCGTGGAACAAGGGCATGCATGCCTTGCCGGTACCAGCTCTTGTCCTGTGCACGTAGCCATGTCCTCACTGCTTGAATCACGCTCTCGTCATCTTCAAATCTTGTTCCGCGGATAGCATCTTTAAGGGGCCCAAAGAGATGGAGTCGGAGGGTGGATGGGGCAGCACCGTCCAACCCAATTTGGTGATTTCTTCCCGGGTTCTCAGACTTGTGTGAGGGCGTGCATTGTCGTGCAGGAGCAAAATTTCTGCTGGATGCTTGTGAGGCCGAACTCGTCGAAAACGCTTCTTGAGGGTTTTCAGGGTCCTGATGTACGCGTCTGAATTGATGGTCGCACCTCTTGGCATCACATCCACAAGAATGACCCCATCACTGTCCCAAAAGACAGTCATCATGACTTTTCCGGCGGAGGGAGTTGACTTGAATTTCTTCTTTCTCGGTGATTGAGGATGATGCCACTCCATTGACTGCCTTTTTGTCTCTGGCTCAAAGTGGTGTATCCAGGTTTCGTCACCTGTAATGATCCGGGACAGAAAGACCTCTCCCTCAGCATCAAAACGCTCCAACAATTCAGAAGAAATCGTTTTCCTTTGAATCCTGTGGTCTGCTGTGAGACTTCGTGGAACCCATCTTGCGCACACCTTCGAATATGCAAGAGCCCGGATAATTGCAATCACACTTCCATTGCTGACTGAAAGCTGTTGGGCCAATTGTCGAGTTGTGATGCGCCGATCCTCACGAATAATGGCATCCGCGCGGTTCAACATGTCTGGAGTGGTGGCTGTGGCAGGACGCCCAGAGCGCGGCAGATCACGGAGCTCGGTTTCTTCACTTCCTGAAGCTTTAACTCTCTTAGCCCAGCGACCAACGGTGCTCCTATCGACTGCACAGCTTCCATACACAGCACACAAACGTTTATGAATGTTCACCACCGTTTCTTTTTCAGCAACAAGGAATTCAATTACAGCTCGTTGCTTGTAACGAGAGTCGTTCACAGACGCCATTTTAACAGTTCACTACAGCTCCGCTATCGGTTGGAATCATTTGAAACTCCGTACACGAACGCGGGAAACATCAAATCTCAAGCATGTAAAAGTACACTTTTCTATCTTCATTATTGGCTGAGAAAAAAAATGTGGGGCATTACTTAATGAGCGACCCTCGTATATCCCATGAATTACAGTATCTTTGCATAGAAACATCTTGGTTGTCTTCTCAGCTTTCCCAGGTCGGCTGATACTGTCATCCCCCGAGTGGTGTACCAGAATTGCTGGCTTTCTGCTGAGACGAATCAATTTTCAGATCAAAGTTCCGTGTTAGAGAGCTCCTTTATCGTAGGTCATAATCAATTCCTCCTATTTGAGTCTCTGGGACCTTGGAGGGGGTTAAAATAAAATAAAATAAATCCCTGGCATAACAGCTCCAGAGAGCCAAAGCCGACTAGCTTGACCGCTGGCCTCACGTTCACATGCCTAAGCAGAGGTGATCGATCATCCAACCAGATATAGGGTGACGTGTGGTCAGGACGACGAACCCCCAGCCATTGTTAGCTTTCCTGACCAGATTACGCTACTTATTGTAGCTCCCCAATTTCTTCACGATGCTGGGTTGGCACCGGTCCCATACACCGGTCGAAAGTTCATGAGAAAATTTCCTCTCCCCTGAGACTCGAACCAGCGCGCATTCCGTATCACCGGTCCGAGGCATGATGCCTCAGACCGCGCTGCTACGGCATGGGACCTTGGAGGGGGTTAACCTCTTTAATTAGGGCACTGCCCTCTGACCAGGGTTTTCAGACACCCTGGTCAGTATCTCCTGGATTTGGGTAGTGCCATGTACCATGGCTTCCCAGTATTACTATGGTTGCCACTGGCTTTTTTGTGCTTCCTCCTGGCACTTACAGACACTTGGTCTTCGTCAGATGAAGTCTGTCTAGCTTGAAGGCTGCATTTTGTAGGTCACCTTCGTCCACAGGTTTGCTGGAACCACGAGATCCCTGTGATGGTATGCCAGAGCTACTGGCTCCCAGAGAGGTGACCTGTATTAATTTTTTTAAAATTCCAGTTTTAATTGCATCATGAAGTTTATTTCTGTGCTTCTTGAATGGAACACCTGTTTACATGTATGTATGGTACCAAATACACTTACCATATTTGTGATAAGTTGTATAACTCAGGGAACAAGGATACTAGTAAAGAAGCATGAAAGGTATTTTAAAACTTCCTGGTTGAAACTGTTATTCAGAACTGAGTTATATTGCAGTTGATGACTGTCTTGTGGGTTGTTGCTCCGTGTAGTCTGGTAGAAGTTTGCCGACGTTTCAGAGATCCTTGCTGCCTCCATCATCAGCCCTGATGATGGTGGCAGCAATTCAAGTTGCAGTTTTTAGGGAGAATGGGCTTTCGAAGGTATGTGTATTTGTAGCATGGCTGTGAAAGTAATTGAATTTTGTTTTAAAATTCTGTTAAGGAATCAGTTGCTTCTACAGCACAGACTGTTGGAAAGAGAACACACTGTGATCTGTTCTTATGAAGCAAATCACATGAAGATAAATTACACATGTTAACATTGACAAAAGAATGAGAATAGATTAATCAGCTTATATGTAAAGTTAAAATTGTGGATTTATTTATTTGTTCTCTTATAACTTGAGAACAGATATGCTGAATTGCACCAAACATGGCATGTTTGCTCCTTGAGAACAGGAAGAGAACATAGCAGAGGCATACTATGCCAAAAGTGTCCTGAAGTTTGATTCCTAGTTAAAGTGGTTGCTGTAGTTCAGAAGCTAAGCATGTTTGAAGAATGGTGCCTATCAGCATAAACACCTCTGTGATCCACACACTTCGGCTAATATTCAGGTAGTTTCATGAGTCCGTGATGATAGATCTTTGCAGTTTGTTGATGAAATTACATCTTTACCTCTCTCTTGACAGGAAGTAATGTCCTCTGAAATGTCTCTTCAGTTTTGGGCATAGGCAGAAGTCAGATGGAGCCAAGTTTGGATGGTATGGTAGGATGTGTGTGGTTCAAGGCACCTATGTGCTGATCTGAAGTCTAATATTGAAGCAAAACTGACATGTCAGAATGAACTCTTCAGATACCTGCCTTCAGTTTCAGTGCAATTCCATCATAGCACTCACACTTAATAGTGGTGTCTGTAGGTGTGAATCCTGAATAAACTGCACCATTAATGCACCGCAAACAATGTGCCGGCAGAAGTCATCTTGGATTTTGTTGGTGTTTGTAAACTTATGGTTGCATTCATCAAATGTCTGTCCACTTCCAGCTTAGTCTGCCAGTTGGTAACACATTCTTTGCAGGCAGAAACTCAGTCACTGCATACAAGTGTTTTTAAAAATTGTAAAAATTCTGTATTTTATATTTCTGGTGTGATGTGTGGGTGCATATGTACTATTTTTTAAATATAATTTAACTGTACGCAAGTATGCTGCATGTGATTTAATGATTTTAAGGTAAATGGGAACCACACAGACATATAGAACTTCGGGAATTGTGTATAATATTAATATTATGTGCATGTTATGTGATATGTGTAGCTGCTTGTTAACTGTTAGGGAAGCTGTAAGGGAAGTCACCTATAAAATTATGTAAATTCCATCTCTTCTTTGCTTCTCTTTCCTCTTGTAGTCAAATGGAAGTTTCCGTATAAAAGAAATTAAACAGTCTACATTTTTGAAAATGGCTTCAGGTAGTATGTCACAAGGGGTTCAGTTTGTAAGTTCATTATTTTGTATTAATCCAAAGGCTTGTGATTCAATACTGTGTTTAATATGTCATCACAGTGGCACATATTTACTGTCCTGGTATGAATTCAGAGATGTATGTAGAGATTGTGATAAACTTCAGCACATATTTAGCACAGACTGAAGAGGCCATGAGGTCGTATATGTGTGTCATAGATGTCCACACATTGCTGTGTTTGTACTTTGTATGAATGTCAGATTAATTACAAATCAAGTGCTGTGGTGCACTACACCCTATTCTGGCTACACATGTTATTATTCAGACACTTTTAGGTCCCATTTTATCATCAGTTAATACAGTTTTTTGTCCTGGACAGAGAATCATGGGGTAGTCGCAATCGTGCGAGGGCAGATTACCGTGAATATCGTGGTGGTGGTGGCAGGGAGCGGTATAGCCCTGCCAGAACTCATGATATCTCACCACCAATGAAGAGGGTGCGGACAGAGTGGTAAGTCTGGTAGTGAAAGTAGGAACCAAGTAGTTTACAGTAGCAGAGAATTTTACTGCTTGGTGCTGGAGAATAAGGTTCTCCATTGTGAAGCTTGAAACCCATTGCCTCTTTCATGTATGGTAGACATTCTTCATTGACTGACCACCACTAGTGTTCAGATTGCAGATATTTTAGGCAAATATAAACTTTGACCAAAAACTTCCATTTTTCTATTGTAATATCTGTGTACATACTGGTAGTGTTCTGTTATTTTTTGAATAACCTCACGCCATATTTACACTACTGTGTCAGCCACTGACATGATATTACCTGTTCGGTTTGTGGTCAGAGCATGTGTTAACACATTTATATCTCTAAAATTTTACAATACTACTGCAAACAAAACAAATGGACAGTATGAAGAAGTATCACCTGAGCACAGTGAAAGTGGGTGGTGTGATGGTTGTTGATAAATAATTCCAAAGGACATTGATAAAGTATGACGTACAGATTTTTTTGAATGGCACAAACCCTAAGAATTTTGAGGTATACTCTTATAATGTGATTACTTTTTCTATTTGAATGTTAATATTGCAGGCCATGCCCAGATAATGGTGGTGGGATTTAAACTTGGCAACATCCACTTTCATAAGTAACACATTGAAGTTGGTATAAGAACCTTTTTTGTAATGTCATACCTTTATTTTAAAAAGTATTAAAAAAATTATTTTAAAAAGTATTGAAAAACAGTTTGAAAACTTGATTGTTTACCTGGAACACAACCGACAAATAACTTGGTTGTTAGTGGTCCAATGAATAATATTTAGATGTTCATTCTTATTTCATCTGTAGTGGAACTTTTTTCCTTTAAGGGATCTGAGTTGAAGGTACTTATTATCTTCACCATGCTTGTATTGTATTCTGTTTCATGAAATTGATTTCTGATCAATTTCTTCTGTGGCTAAAATATGTGGGATGTATGTTGCTTGGGTCCAAGGTTTCCTTGCTCTTGAGATGTCGTCGTATTTTGCACAGGGGTTGATTTTAGTTGGTAATGGGTTTTGATGAGATAAATGGAAAACTGAAAGTTGGATGTCTAACTGGGGAAACATTTTTACGTTGTGAACGTTTTCGTAAGAATGCTCTCCATGTGTATGTGTTTTTTGTATGTTTTATGGACATCATTACCGTCTTGAATGTGCTGTTTGTGTGGCGGTGAAACTGTTAAAAATGCAATTGTGTGCCCTCATTTTACTGCGTAGTAACAAAAGTAAAATATTTGCCAATTTGGTGACCCAGTCTTTACTGGAGGTGACGAGTCTCCGTATGCCTGTTTGTAAGACAGCTTTAACCACAAATCAAATCAGATGAATGTTTTGTTATAAAAAAGCAATTTTTAAAATTTATTTTGTAATGTGTGGAATGCCAGGCTTGAATGTAGCAGGTACAGCATTCAGATTAATATTTTACTATTTGAGTAGATTACATTGTTTGACTGTTACATTGTGTACAGGTGTCCGTCATTGTACGCAATTAATGGGTTCCAATAAATTGCAGTGTAAAGTAAAATCATGTTGAGTGAATTAATTTTAGCATGGTTATAATAGGGATGCGTTCCAAAATAGAGAAATGCTGTTCAGAAATTTTTTTAAAGAATGTTATTAACATTACTCTCTTTATAATAAATGTACATAATTTAATGAGGTGACTCGGAGGATGCTGGTGAGCGTGAAGCATGATTGGGCTACACCGACAACTTTCATCTCTCTTGATTAAGTGGTGGAGAAGGTGTTGATATGTAGCTTTTTGTCTCGTGATGTAGAGTTATTTGTAACAAGCCACAGCACCATCAGGTGTTGTGGTAACTTCAGCACATCTTTCCCTGTTGGTGTCATTATCATCTATGATGCCAACAGCAGTGTCATTGTGCTCAAAATGATGGATGAGGAAAGTCGTGAGATAGACGTTGAGGTTCGGCAATCTGGTAGGCAACGTGGAAACTATCAAAGAAGACATGTTTCAAAGGATGCATGAGTATATTATGTGTGTTCCGGTGTGGAAGACACTTCCCAGGCTTATTGTTTAATATGTGAAGAAATTGTGTTAAGAATTTTATTCTTAGTTATCTAGAAGATTAAAGTTGCTTCAAAAACATTGTCATATTACTAGGTTGAGCAATGCTTATGTTGGTTCTTGTAATATGCATTACAGTAAAAAAAGAATGTAAAATTTAAGGACAGAGTGAGGTGATTGATTGACTTGAGTTGGATGACTGAGGTTTGATTGTTCGCTCTGACCCCAGCATTCTGTCTGTGGGGTCATTCAGGTAAAATGACGAGAGTGTGACACTGACCTCTGACCTTCATCTGGTGGTGAAGTTGAGAATGCTTGGTGCTTTACATCCTCTTCCTTATATGTCATTATTACAGTTAGTATAATGAGAATATCATGGCAGTGACAACTTAACAAAGAAACAGCTTGGGCCAGTGAATAAAAAATTCGCTGCACAGGTTGAGTGCAACATTTTGTTTTGTTTATATTGTGGAGGTATTCAGATAGGAGAGTATCGATCAGTATATGTCAGATAGACTTACGTCTTTTAGCTGGGGTGAAAAATGTGATTTGTGATGACCAAACTTTTGCATGGACGCAATGAACTCACTGCATTAAGTAACTTAATATGTATCATTTTGTTGTGAACCCCACTGTCTTTTAGTGGAATTTACTGGAAACAGAGGAAAACATGTGCATTTTTAAAGGAATGTGACCTCAGTATTCCAAATTAAATATTGTTCTTTAGCCTCTTTCCTGATTTGTATGGGCAATAGCCGCACAAAATTCTGTAGGATTTGGTGTTCTGACAGCAGCAAGTGGTAAGATGGCTGTCTTCTGGGTTGCAGCACCAAGCAATCTGGTAAAAGTTTACCAACGTTTCAGAGATCCTTGCTGCTTCCATCATCAGAGTAGCAAATACCTCTGAAACATTGATAAACTTATACCGGACTGCATGGAGTTTTAACCCAGAAGACGGCCATCTTCTTATTAAATTGTCAGTTACCCCCAAATAACTTTTGAACCAGCTGTCTGATTTTCATTAAACAAGGAATTCTTGATTTTATGTCGTGGTAAATCAGAAATGCGGTATGATAGTTTGAGGATACATCTCACAAATTTGACATGGCATGAAACTGTGTTTGTTAAAATTATGCAGAGAAATTGTCCATTAACATACAGTTGCTTTGCAGTTTTCGCTCACTTGACATACACGGCATATTGAAACATTTGAAGAGACGTGGACATTGTAATTTGTTCCCACATCTTTTGTTGCAAGCACTTATCACAGTGGCCCATGATTACATTAGCTAGCTACTATCCTTCTCGCAGTCTGCTGCTGGTGAAGGTGTGTGTGCACGTACGAGATATGATATTTCACTGTGCTAGCATCAGCTTTAAGTTCCCTGTTATATATGTATATATAAAAGAAATATCTGTCATTTAGTGGAATATTCCGGCACCTTACCTGTCACTGCATGTATAAAAAAGGAAATTTAGGCATAAATTCAGTTCATTGGAGAGGCCAGGCATGTTGATCGTTCGCTGGGTGCCAAGCAAGTTGCGAGTATGAGTGATCTGCAGGCTGTATTGTGAAGGAGCATGGTGGCAGAGTGTTACATGTGCATTCTGGCAAGGAGAAAAACAAGTATAACCATTGTGAAGCCAAGACTCTTTGCAAAGAAGACAATACTTTGTAAACTAACAAAACCATAATTAAATAATTGACTGATATTGTGTAGAATAAATCCATCTCTCAATTTTAAAGATTCTATCCACGGTGTAATTACTAATGTGTGCTACATTATTATAGTTCATGTGTCAGGTGTTCTGATATTATCTTTTTCATTCTCTGTTTGTGGTAGGGACGAACGGAGGAGTGCTGGCTATGGGCATGACAGTACTGCTGTAGGGTATGGGAGCTATGCTAGTTCATGGCCCCATGACAGCTATAGCTCTCAGCATGCTTATGGGAACCATGGTAATAATCAAAGGTAAGTAAAGAGGACTTATATCTTTAAGAGTATTTCAAACCCTTTTTTTCATTTGCCAGGAGTGTTACAAGCTCTGTGTCGCCCTCGGTGGACTAGTGGTTAGCGTTCTCATCACTGGACCCAAGGTTCACAGGTTCAAACCCGGCCAAGGTCATCAGATTTTTAAGGATGATATAAATCGGTAGCAGAACTTCCTTCGGAGGGGAAGCAAAGCCGGCGGTCCCATGTCGTAGATTTACAGCATGTAATAGCACCTTAACAAGCATGAAGGAGATGTTTCATAAGCAAAATTCAGCAGCCATTTCTCACCCATGTCTCCTAATTCTTTACTATATGGCTCTAGCATTCAAATCAGGATTGAGTAGATATTGTGCAGAGGCAGTGCAGTACATACATGGGAACCATGTTTTGTTTTAGGGTTGAAGCGCAGGTCATACAATGCATACTGCTTGTCTTGTTATGTTTATGTGCAACCAGAAATGTTTGTAATGCCAGGACACATTTGTCTGCACAGAACAAGACATGCTTATAAATTAGGGGAATAGTTATTTACTGAACTGCTTCAGTTCAACTTTAGCTCAGAGCTATTTGCACTTAGAGGTACTTGAGTCTGTGGATAGCCTTCTGCCTGGACAGTTTCTCCTGTGCACAGACTCCCTTAGTACGGTACAAGGCCTATAGTCCCATGATTTTACCCACCCACTCACCTTGGAGCTATGCACAACCTGCCATGCACTCTCTGATGGGGATTTAGATTAATCTTGGCCTGATACCAGGCCATGTTGACATTGGTATTGAGGTGGCAGATGCCATATCCATAGCACCGTGTGGTACCTGGTATCATGAGTTTTGTCTTTATCACTGCCCTCCATCAGTGTATTTTGGTCAAGTGGCAATGGGAGTGGGTTCACACTCAGGGCAACAAGTTGTGATATATGAAACCAGTGTTACCCCCATGGAGCTCATGTTGACCCATCTGCCGTAATGAAGTTGTGGAAACTTACCTGCAGGTTGTCCACGCTCACTCACACAGCCATTAGCCATCTTCTGGCCATGAACCCACCCACTGTATGTGCCATCTGTAACGTGCAGCTTATTGCTAGACACAGCTTATCAGACTACCCGAGGTTTACTGACAGATGTGATTGGTTTTGGCTGCCGCGTTCCATGTATGATGTATTGATTGGTGATGTCCCAATTTCTTGAGTATTAAGTTTTTGATGTGCCATTGGCATCTTCCACATTTTATAACTATTGTACATTAACTTTTTACCATACTGTGAACATGTATTTTAAGTAGTAAATAATCACAAGTATCCATAGCAGATGGTGATCTTTACAAACCCATAATTGTTCTACCCTCATGTGCCAGCTCACCAACATTACTAGGCGCTGCACAGACCCTTCAGTCAAACAGATCTTGCAAATGTCGAGGAACGCAATGATGTGCAAGGACGAAAAAAGATATAGGAACTTGATATTTGATGGATTTTAAGGAAATATTAGTTGAAGTGGCTCTGAATATGATTTAGTAGATTGACATGGCTTGGGGTTCATTTTAGTATCTGATTTTGAACCTGCAAATTTAATTGCATACAGCAGTTTGGTTACTTAGTTATTACTGATTACACTCAACGCTGTTTTCATGGGCTTCACAGGGAAATTCAGACGACAGAAACGCAGCCACCTATGATGTCATTCAAAGCATATCTGCAGACACAAGATGACAACATAACAGATGATGAGGCAATCAAGAAATATAATGAGTATAAGTTGGAGTTCAAGAGGCAACAACTGAATGAGTTCTTTGTAACTCACAAGGAAGAGGAGTGGTAAGTTCTGATCCTGTGAGATCTGCAACTGCGTAAGCAGGTCTGAAATTATCCTTTTTAAGGAGAAAATTCGATTTTATTATAGTATTTTTAACATCTGCCAAGAATTCGTTCAGACGCTTCATACAGCATGTTGTGCTGGTTTTGAAGTGTTTATAAATTTAAAAACATTGTTGGTCTTTCTTGTTTTATATAAAGCCCTTCATTTTGGGTAGTATTGTCATGTGAGAGCCCTTTTGATGGAGGCAGCAAGGACCGCTGAAATGTCGGTAAACTTCTGCCAGGCTATAAGACCCTACAACCCTGGAGACCACCATATAAGTCAGGGGTGGCCAGCCCGCGGGCCGCATGTGGCCCGCCTTGAACATTTTTCCGGCCCGCGAGATTCATCACACTTTTACAAAATATATTTATTTTATAATGGCCAAAGTAGTGAAAACCAATGTATTAAAAAAATACATTATTTATGCATCCATATATTCAAAAATTATCTGTCGAAATCTGTCAAAATGTAACAATTACATCAAATATGCAAAAGAAATAAGAAAACTTACAGCTGCTTTTGAAAGCCGATTCAGTAATTTAGAGTTAGACAAATACAACAAAATTTTTGAAATATATTCATCTCCCTTTCATGTTAAAATCGAGTCGGCCCCAGAATATCTCCAAATGGAACTGGTTGACTTACAGTGCAATATTGAATTAAAACACATTTTTGAAACATCAGAATCAAAAATAGATTTTTATAACACTTACGTCACAAAAGAGAAATGAGAAACATGATCTTGAGGTGGTTATATTATCCAGTCTTACTTGAAGCACTTGTGTGTGTGAAAGCAGAATGTAGGTCAGTATCAGCTGATTGTGAAACTATTGATGTTAATTATTTTAAACTATATTTATAAGTAATGATGGCAGGTTTGGTGAGTATCTATGTTATTATGAGATGTAGGTATGACCGGTTTAACCACTAGGCAAACTAAGCGGTCGCCTAGGGCTGCAAATTGGGGGGGGGGGGGGGGGTTTCACTCCAAAAAAATGTCTATAGTGTATCTAAATCTAATATGGGGATATATAATTTTATATGTGGCCCGCGGAGTTATGATGCATTTCCAAAGTGGCCCAAAAGATCATTTGGGTTGGCCACCCCTGATCTAAGTGTTACATGCTCATGAAATGTAACTTTTAAACTGCGGGTATTCATTTCCAGTAATCCTGTACAGTTGTCCGTACTGCTTAAATTGTTTACATGTGATGAACAGGATTTTTTATTTAGTTTTCAGATGTCCAGATTTATTTGCAATGCGATAGTGAGTGTTGCTGTAATTATTTTCCACACTCTTGTCTCAAACATGGCTGTGAGAGAGCAATATGTGTAGACTATAACTGAATTCCCTGTTGTTTTCTGTATGAAGGAAGTTCTTGGCAGATATGTGAAAATGACTTCTCAAATTGCAGTTCTGGTGTACCATGTAACCTCAGTTTGAATCTGCTAAACTAAAGGCTTAAAATGGGCATGTTGAAAATTTCAAATGATATGATTTCAAACATGAAGGAAATAGATGCATCATTTTGTTCCCCTCAAATAATGCACCTCTTTCAGAAGTTTGGCAGAAGTAATAGTTGCTTTATTAAAATAAAGTTGTTAGTATTCAGGGATGTTACTGTTTTATAAGCAGGATGGCGAGCATTTAGAAACGGTTCATGAGGATTTTTAGCGTGACGACCCAGGCAGGCCCGTTGTCTTGTCTTTGCTTCTAGACTTCTGTCAGCTGTAGACTTTGTGGGCTGTAATCTGCTTTCATGGTGTCATTTCCTGTGCTATTTGTATTGAGTTTCAAAATGGTCAGGAAGTTCTGAACAAATAAGGTGGTAATTAGATTTATATCCCCCACAGTTTTCATATATTTCAGCCCTGTTGACATTGATCTCTAACTGTTTTCTTGGAGATGTGACGAGCAAATTCATGTCCAATGTAAAGTTTGACTGTCCTACCCCTTCTGGATGCAAAGTTGAGGTTACATGTTGCTTTAGTTTCCAGTGTATAGTTTGTGGTTTTGTCACAGAATAATACATGACTCGTATTTATTACTATAAATGTAGTTAGCCCCAGTATGCTTTTACACTTTGTTTATTGCTTGTTATAAATAACAGCAGCATATTAAAAGTAGTCATTTTCAAGATTGTATACCAAAATTTCAAGCTGTTTCTTCTTAAACATTTTCTCTTCTAATATATAGGAGCTTCAAGAGTAAGGTATACAAGTTACGAAGTTATGGCTTGTATTGAAAAGATGTGACCTTTGTCCTAGAATTGTGTTACTTCATAGGGCTTCAAGAAAACGTCATTGTTACAGAGTGATCAATTTTAGATGTTATTTACTTATCTGCTTCTTTCTTCCGATATTTATTTGAATCCAAGATGCACCCTTTCTACAGCTTAGTGTCTCACGATTTGTTGATCAAAATTCATGAACATTTTGTTCAGTTCCTTACTCATTTTCAGATAATTAAGGACTATTTGTCCTCAGACTGAGTCCTTGCACAAAGAACTGAGCCATTATTCAGACAGCTTAAGTAATCGAATGTTTCAGATATATATTTTGGAACAGCGATTAATAAGGCATACCATGTACTCCAGTTTAAAAGAGATACTTCTACATCTCTGTCATGTTGTGTAAATAATATTCATACATTGAATTCTGCCCAGCTACATTACATAGGCTTTGGTATAGTAGGCCTTTAAATCTGCTGTCCTTCAAGTGAAATTTTTTTCAGTCTCTCCTGTCTTTAAAATTTCTGTAAATGCCATCTGTTTTGTCAAGAACTATGTAGCGTAATTACAGACAAGTCTGCTGACTGACAGTGGAAAAATTTATTAAATAATTTCATATTTTAAATTGTTTCTTTGTAACATTTGTGCAGCAGCTTGGATTTGGATAAATTCCATGTTGTGCTGACTTTCTGAGAGAGTAAAGTCAGAATGAAAGCTGTACCACTGCATTCCACTCTTAACTGTATGATGAAACCAATTCTTTCCTACAGCTTACTTTCTTACACTAAGAGGACGCTACTGCACCAGTGCGAAGATACACAATCTAGTATTTTACTTTTGTGTCATATTGTGTGTGGTATATTAATGATGCAACATAAAATGGAATAAAAATGGTGAAATATGCCCGAAACAAAATGGAAAAATTTGCGTTGAAATGAAAAGCGATGAAATGTATATGTGGTGAAAAGGAATCAAATAATTCCAAAATATGGAGAATAATAGTAGCAAGTGTGATGAATGGAATGGAAGAAGAATAATCAACATATGCATCATCGGTGGATTTCACCAGTACATTTACTGTAAACAAATTATCTCTGCTGCGTTAATATGATGACCTGTGAATGGATTCACGCATAGATATATATGTCTTTAGCTCGTATACCGCTGAGCACAATGCAGTGGTCGTATATCTTTTATATCCGAGAGAGAAAACCCAGATATTTTATGTAATATCTTGGGTTTATACCGCGCGGTTTTAGTCAGGGAATTATAATCACAATTTGCAATTTCGTGTTGTGAAACTGCCGTTGATTCGCTCGTTCACATGTGTGGGGGCAACATATAAAATGCCAGCAAGCAGGTGAGATTCTAATTCATCACTCAGCTCTACTTTTTACTCCCCCTTCAACCCCACTTACAATGCTATTTGTCTAGAATTTAATGATGTGGGCAGAAATTTAAATCATTTTTATAAGGGGAGACAACACTTGATTGGTATCTGCTGAGATAGGTTCCAGATGCCTTGATACATGTACTACAGTCCTTATTCAAAGATATCTACCAAGTTGATGTACTGTCGTTTAAATCTTGCACACATGTAATCTACCTTCAGAAATTAAAAATTACCTGGAGCCTTTTCTTACAATATACTGAATTTGCATGACTGTAAGACTGCACGGATATAAGGTAGCCGCAGACTTTAAAGTAAAATAATTTGGTTATTCAGATAAGATTCACACACACAGTGATACGGAAGGAATGTGTATGCTGCGTGTTCTGTTTGATTTTGTTCAATAGGCACTGTTGGCATAAGCATGCATAAAATCAGGAATGTACAGTATTAATACCATATACCATGCGTAAAGTTAGTGCATGCTCACAAACTAAGTGACGTTTGTCAAATGTGTCTTGTCCCGGGAGCCAAGCCACGGCTTTACAAATATAAAGCAGGATAAGTTTTTTGCGTCTGACATTTGCAGTAGTGACAATCCAGTCATTACTTCTGTGGAGTTTTGTATGTACTGTGGATATGCACCTCATTCGCCAGATGCATATTCCTTCATTGGTTAATATAAGTCAGTGCTATCACCTTATCCCCACCATTTACAATGAAAATAATTAGTACAGAGGAGTTTTAAGAAGTGACCTGTCCCACTGTCCAGAACAAGGTGTCGGTCCTCTTTTATGGAATCGGGCAATACGCATGCCATTGACATGGTTAGAATTATCTTTTGAAGTGATTTATTATTAGAGCCGTTCCTTTGTGTAAAGGATCTTTTAACAAAGCCCTCATGTAAAAAAGAAAAGCGTGGAATTTATGCAAGGAACACAACTCTTAATATATGTGGTTATCTGCATGTTTGATTGATTTATCAGTTACAAAGTTTGCTCCACTTCATCCTTATCTTGATTGTTGACTCGTTAAACATCTGGAGTCAAAACTTTGAAAGCAAGTGAATGAACCTTGTTTATTATGAACATTTCTGTGTAATGCTAATAAGACATAACTTAGGGTATTGATGCCTTACTTTCATCAGGTGACTCATTCCATGCAACATTTGTTCTTCCAACTAAATTTCAAATTAGTACCTTAATACCCCATCACCTGTCTTCTAACATGTCATAAATTCGCCATTCATATCACACCATCATTTCAGTTTCAGTGCGCAGTTTGATTTGAGATATGAATTCAGTTTCGGTACTTTTTATCGATTCTCGTATGCCACAATCATTTCCTTAATTCGCCATTTAGAATACAAGTGTGTATTCAGTATGTCTTCTAACATGTCATAAATTCGCCATTCATATCACACCATCATTTCAGTTTCAGTGCGCAGTTTGATTTGAGATATGAATTCAGTTTCGGTACTTTTTATCGATTCTCGTATGCCACAATCATTTCCTTAATTCGCCATTTAGAATACAAGTGTGTATTCAGTAGTTGATGCAACTTAAAAAGTGTTCCATCCAAGGATGTAAAGGCAAGCTAATAAGCCAACCCACAATTTATTGTTCCTGCATTACTTTTGATGTAAGTGATTCGTGTTTTACTTTCGTCAATCATATTTTGGTCTCAAAGCAAAATTCAAGCCTGTGTCAGTAATTGTAATAGACCGGCTTAAAACATTTCGAATGAAACTTTGCTTCTGAGTGTACAGTACAAATTTATATGCATTCTTCCTATCAGGTTTTGGCTAACTCCTGCAAGAATACGGAACTTCAAATTCTGTAAGGTCTGTAGTCGTGTATTAAGGCGATCACTGTGTTTTGGTGTCGGTATAATATAGCAAAGTAGGCACGATAAATAAACGAAACATTTACATTACATGGCTGACTGTGGGACTGCACATTGCTATTATTTTTGTTGTGTGGATTAAGAAACAATTCTTAGCCAACTCATTTGTAGAAATCAGTTTTTCTTCTTGAATAATCATCAAGCCACGGCCTTAAGTTATGTCATGTGCAACAAAATGACATATTGTAAGTAATATAATATCTGCAGGGAGCAACGTTGCATCCTGTACAGTTGGCATTTAAGAAAAATGTGTTTTGTGCAAACACACTTTTATATATGTGTGTGTAAGTGTATGTGTGTTTATATATATAAATTAAATAAATAGGTTAAATAAATAACATGTTTCTTTCCAGAAATAGGGATTAGAAACTTTTATTCACATTTCCCAATGCTAGTGCAGTTAACAGTTGGTAACACTTTCATAGCAAGGATTAAAATATTGTGTACAGAGTAGAAAGGTTGAAGATTTCCGATTACTATGCACCATGTAAATTGAACACAGTAAGCTTTAGATACTTTTGTCATTCAAATTTTGTCCTGTACATGACAAGTGCAAATGTTTCACTTCAGTCGTTCAGTACAAACACAATATTTTGTGAAGATTTTAACTATTGTATAGAAAATATTTTGTGTTATATATATTGATTGTATTTTGGATTCCTCCCTACTCTGCTTTGTACGCCATAGTTTTTATTTAAAAGAAGTAATCAAAGATCAGCATGGATTTAATGAGATTCGACATACCACTTGAAGTTTTATTAATATAAGTTTGCTCGGTTACCTTCAGGTTCAAAATAAAATACCATCCAGAAGACTCCGTGAAGAGGAGAGAGGAGCAGATGGCAGCTCTTAAGGTACAGTCTCTTTGTACTTATTCCTCACGCGACATTCAGTTTCTGTAGTTGCTGCCTCATAGTCTCAGTGTTACTTTCCGTGAATGTAACTGTTCTTTGTTCAAATTCATTGGCCTCTGTAGAAATATTAAATGAAGATTTTGCTATATTTGCCACCATAATCAGAATTTTCAGGAAATAATTTTAATAACCGCTGGTGTAGTCCACACTTTCTGCATGGTGGTGGTTGATGGAGAAGTGAGCACAAATAAATATATCTTTCAGTTTCATAGTTTGGGTTTTTACATATGCTTACACACAATTTACATTGTATTTTACACTTTTCGTACATTTTTCAAATTGATAATCTATTTAAGATGTGAGGTTTTCACAGCTGTGAGTGTGAAGATTTCTGTCTCCTGGGTTGTTGCGCCGTGTAATCTGGTTGATGTTAACCAACGTTTCAGAGGTCATACTGCCTCTCAGCTTCAATCAGTTCTGATTGGCTCTCTTTCAAAAAATATGTGTTTCAATGTTGACTGTGGCGTTATAGCCTACATAGAACTTCATTTTCTATGTTTTCTTGATTGGTCGCTCCCTTATCCAAGGTTGCCACTGTACAAACAAAAAGTTCGGAACCTTCCTCATTGTACAGTTTAAACTGCATGTATATATGATTCTTTAGTTTTGTAAATAGGGGCAATAAGATTGTAGTTTGCAGTTGAGTGTTTAAGTGCCTGAAGTACCTTGTACATGAATTCATGCTGCATGGATAATATTAATGATGTTCCATCATTTTTATATATTGCAGAATCGTGTTAAGGTATTTATAGAATTTATGGAGCAGAGTCGTCTGGGTACGGTATCAGTGGATGCAGATCAGTCGGAACAGTTGATCCGGTTGCTAGATGCCGTCGTCATACGGCTCGAAGGCGGAACAGATTATGACTTGCTGGCATTGGATGAACCCCGACCAGTGGGGTCTGGTTCAGGCCAGGGATCTGCTGGAGTTGGGGCAAATCAGACTTCAAAGCCCAGCAGTGCAACTGCAGGAGGTCAGACAGCAGAAAAGCAGGGCTCTGGAGACAGTGACGTCAAGCCAGGGAGTGTCAAGGAAGAGGAAGACGAATCTAAACCATTCATACTTGGTGAAGAGTAAGTTTTGTCCCTTTTCATTGTCTTTTATTTCCTTAACATCAGTTTTTGTATTGAAATTATGCTTTTTATTGCTGCCACTTTTGAATTTCAGAAAGGTGAATATTTTAAGTGACATTTTCTAGATTTGTCACACTCTATATGAGTATTGTCTGTGCAAATTAATTTACTTTGTGTGGTTGTTGTTATTGCTTTCAAGAAAATTTGTCTTAACAATTAGCATGCAGGATTTATATAGGCACAAAAAGGAATGTCGTTTCTACCTGCCCATTAACATGTGAAATGGAAATGATGCTGAAAGAAGTTTCTTCCCATGTTGGAAAAATACAGACCTTATACCTTATTGTGATAGATTGAATATACATTTAATCAGTGGAATTTCCCATTGGTTACCAATTGCGCTGTCCGTAAATTGTGGGCGAAATTATGTTTGCTGACACTATTCCATACCAAATTTATTTAGAATAGGATTTAGCAGTTTCTGATTAAATGGGCTGTGAGTGCTTTTTATCCAATCATTTTCATTTCTGAATTTGTAAATGCTAATGTTTGTCATCTCAGAAGGTGTTTGGCATAGGTATGGCATATAAAATATATGTGTAATGTTGTGTAGTGAGGACACAAAGAAAAAGGAACGTGACAAGACTACAGAACCTTTAGAATTGAAGAAGGACCCGTCACAGCCTCTTAAATTGATAATCAGCTCGGAGCAGGTTGAGCTACAGAAGAAGGCCAAAGAGTTTCTCAAGCAGAAGTCTGCAGAGGAAGAGGATGGGCCTAGTACGTATTCTGTCACTTTTAAATATATAATGTTTTTAATTTATATTTAAAATTTACTAGTTACTGTATAATTGAAACAAATGATGTACAGTAAAATCTTGGTTTGACAAATTATATATATACGCTGTAGTAAAAGGCAATACAAAGAAATGAATAACTTAAGATTTATTGCATTTGCAAAGCACAGTGCATTATAAAATAAGTGGCACACCACACATTTGTAGTAATATTAGTGAATGTAAAACAGCCTTTCATGAAGTCCTGCTATCACGATGTAAACTAGAATGATTTAACATTTGTGATGGTGCATTGGTAGGGGATGAACGGTATTTTCATTCATTATGTTGAGATTTTACTGTATGCATTTGTAGAAAGTAAGGCATGACAGCTTCATATTTTGGTGTAGGTATTACAGGCAGCTAGTAGTTGACAGTAGCAGTTCATAGAGTCTCATTGTACTTGTTTTATAGCAGTACGTTTTTGTTTGTTGCAGCTTCTCTAAAACATTGTTACATGATTTATCAGCTATAGTGAAAACGAACAACAGAAATTCATTTCTGTATTGTGCATGTCCTTTGTGTTTAATTTCCGCACATAACAGGATTTTTGTTACCAGGTCAAGTCAAGAAACGCAAAAGAGAATATGAATATGAGAGCGGAAGTGAGAGTGGGGATGAACCGGCTGCCCCTGGTGATAATAATGGTCAGTATTAGTACATTTAACATTTACCCTGCATTCTGTATTGACATTGATCATCTAACAGTATATCAGGTATGTATAATATTATTGTCGTGTTCAAATTAAGGACTGTTTCACTGCAGATATGGAAGAGGATGAACCTCCTCCTCCTGGATTGGAGGAAGGAAAAGGAGGTGATGACAGCTTTGCAGAAGATGAGGTCAAGAAGAAACACATGGAAGTGGATGCAAATGATGACAAGGAAGAGGAAGATGAAATTGCAAAGAAAGAAGAGAAATCTGATGATGACCCCGAAGATAGCGTAAGTTATATTGATATACACGTAACTAGCCAGCTGTTTTATTCCATAAATGCCTGCATCAGCTCAACTTGTAGTTTTGCTTTAAATCTACTCCGCTCTGTATGAAGCTATGGTTATTCAACATAAATCTTCTCTTTGTGACAAGCGCTTTTTAATGAAGTTCAAATTCCCCTAACATAGAAACCACACATACAGTATTCTTCATCACAAATGATCCATATGCCTATTACCCTACGTAGTATCCTCACTAGAGCATCCGCTTGCTATAACGAGGTGTATGGATGGCTACCGTACTTCACTGCCATGTGTGGTGTCATAGCTGATGTAAATCATTTATCGTCCGTCTACATCACTGGCCTCGCTTGTTAGAGACTGTACACACGGTCAGGAGTTTGAAAACTGACTCTTACAACCAAATTTTATATTTTTTAATAATATATTGGAAGATACGCCACTGGTAGCTGACATCACTTGGCATGAAATTCCACCTGGAGGCTCTTGTTCATAGACAAACTCGTGGAAGCAGAATTTTCTACTGGAAATGTGCTTATGTATAGTGGTGCTTCCTCGTACTATAGATAATAGGGAAGGTTCCTACAGGATTGGTGTAATTTTTCCTCTCGCTTTAAGAACACATTGTAGGTAGGATACGAATTACAATGTGAGTGTCATTATTTATGTATAATTATATATATAAGTTTAATGATGAAAAAGTGCTCCATTTCTGAAAGACGTTCTCCTAGCCACTTTCGCAGAATCCTTTCTCCTAGTTTCACTAACTCTGTTACGACTAGGCACATAATTACCTCTTCCTCTAAGTACCATATGACTTCAACTAAGACGAGCTGTCACAGTGTGTATTGTCATCTTCTACAGTGTTGACCACTTTGAAAAACAATGACAAAATATGTTCAGAATATGACAATCCGAGCGGGTCTTGCGGCAAATAGTAGGTAGGACTTTTGCTTGTAAAGAATGAGAGAAGGGACCATTATACATGGTTATTTGTGATTACAGGGTTTTGAACGAACATGAGAAAATCTTTAATTTCTCATTTCGGGCAATATAAAGGTGTATAGAGTGTGAAATTATTCTTCATTATTTTCATATCTGTAGATATTGCTCATTAGAATGCACATTTTACCAGATATTATAAATTCTTGTGAAGCTGGTTTTATTTTACATATCTGTGCTTTCTTAATACTTGTTAAGTTATATAATGTTTTTAACATTCATTGAGTAATACCTGGAGGTTTAATTGTTTGCACGTGTCATGTGATTTCATGCAGTGTGTGCTTTTACTTTGCTGCAGTCAGATAAAGAAGACAAGGATAAATCAGAGAAGAATGTTGTAAAGGATGGCAAGATGGATAGTGGGGATGACGCTGAAGAAGGTGATGAATCAGAAAGGGAGCATAAAAAGAAAAGAAACAGCAGTGAAGAGGCGGTTAAACCACGGCCGCTTCACAAGACTGCCTCGATTTTCCTGAGAAATCTTGCGCCAACTATCACCAAACAAGAAGTTGAAGCGGTTAGTGCGCATATATGTAGATGATATCTAAACATGGTAGTTGTATAGACTGAGTGCTTCCAATAAAATGTTATAAAATTCATGACTCAAATTTGGACTGCATAAGTCCATCATTAGGGTGACATTTGTACAGAGTATCCCGTGCGTACATAAAGGAACATTGTTATGGACAGCCTTCTGTGTGGAGGGAGTTTGAAAAAATGCAGAACATTGGGAAGGAAGGGAATTTTGTGTAGTGCAGTTGGCAGCAGTGCAAAGACAAACATAGTTATGGCAATCCAACAAGACGCAAAATGTATGATTTGTACATGAGGCATAAATGTTGTGCTTGTTCGGCACGTGTAGGTGTTAAATATGTTTTGCGTAATGTGTGTTGACATGTGCTGCGTGATAGCTGAACCTCGCATGATAACTGCCCCAACAGCTTCATGGGTGTTGTTCCAGAGCTTCCTTGCACAGCAACGACAGTCTTAGTGCTTGTGACAGCACTCATGCGACCTGTAAACTGTATTTACCACCACAGAATCATACGTGTTCTTGGAGCTCCTCCTGTGTTTAACAGCCTTTTCACCTCAAGTTGCATACACGTGCACATGTTTAGCATACATAGTCGCACATTGTCACCATATTTGTCTATGCATTGTTGCCAGCTACACTAATTAAATTTCCAGCTTCCATCCATATTTTTCCTAACCCTCTCTTTCGATTATGTCTCTGTAATAAATTTTCTTTTTTGGGTCAATAATTATGGGACATTATATATTTAATGCATTGAAACCCAGACTTACAAAGCCTGCACAGTCCCTGTATCCCAGCCATTCTTGACAAAATGCAGTACAAAAGATATAGCATGTTTCCTCAAGTGTTTGTAAAAATGTAGGTAGTGAAAAAGAAATTTAGAAAAGCATTATGTAGTGTGTGATGTCTGAAGATTAGGCAGGCAGAATTAGAAGTAGTTCTAAATTAATTTAACCTCAAAATATTCATTAAATGCCAAATTGTTGTTTGTCCCCCCCCCCAAAAAAAAAAAAGTGGACAGTGTTTGATGATTACATTGTTATGATGGGTTTACTCTACTGTCTCAAGCCTTTCATTATATGTAGTGTTTGTACAGTGGACTCGTTCTTTGATAAGCACTTCTGTCATTTGCTTTAACCATTGTACATTTTGATTTTTACCTTCCTGGAAGTCTTTCCTTATATACAAATTTAATTTTTGGTAGTGGTTTTGGCGATCAACTTCATCGGGTGTCTAAATCTTCATTCTGCAGGTGTAGTGACAGTGTCATTGTTTCAGATGTGCAAGCGTTATCCAGGGTTCCTTCGAGTTGCCATAGCTGATCCCCAGCCTGAAAGAAGGTGGTTCAGAAGAGGCTGGGTTACATTTGAAAGACAAGTGAACATCAAAGAGATCTGTTGGAACCTTAATAACATACGTGTAAGTTACATAATTGGCCCTCTTGTGTTTATGAATGTAGTGCCAGATCTTGTCTATCAACGTCCAGCGCAGTTTAAGTTCAAGAATGTTATCAGGTTAAATTTTACAGTTACAAGGAAAGGTTTTGAATGCAGGCATCATAATAAAAATCACTTTTTTCAATATTCATGTGTCTGTAAGAACATTACTCTTTGTACAGCATAATGATGTCACTAGAGGCCCCAGACTTTCAGTGATAAAACAATTATTTATGTACTGATGGTTATTAGATGTTATAGGTTTGTTATAATGAAGGGCACTGAAAACAAATAACAAAGATTTGTTGTTTTCACAAAAATCAAATTAGTGGTGTGTTGCTTGTATACTTGTATCACTGAAAAACACTTTGCTCATCATATGTTATGCCAGATTATACAAGATTTACAGATAGAAAGCTTTCCTGTATATGCTTTGCAGTAAAGTCTCTTCTCCTTACATGGATTTTACTTAAAAAAAATTGTTTCACAGTAAAAATTATGTAAATCTCATATCGGTTGTTCTGACAGTTCGTCGGGTGTATTGGAATGAATAAAGGTTCTTAAAAATGTAAAGATATTTTAAGTGTGTACCCGTGAAATGTTTATTACACACCTGCAATTAAAAAATGCATGGGAATCGGACAGTGTTTTTATGATGATTCTAATTACGTATAACTTTTTTTCCAGCTGCGGGATTGTGAATTAGGTGCCATCGTGAATAGAGACCTCAGTCGGCGCATCAGGACAGTTAATGGTATTACATCACATCGACAGGTTGTTAGACATGACATTAAACTGTCAGCACGCATTGTTCATAATTTGGATGCTAAAGCAGGACTTTGGGTAGATCCTGATTCACCAGAAGGAAAGGGTGATCTGGCACCAGGAGACTCTAAGAAGGCGAAGGAAAAGGAGCCAGATCAGTTGTCATTGCCAGTGAGTCTTAAATGTATTGTAGGCATTTAAATGATTGATACAAAGAACCAGACATGATTGATTTTATCTTTAGTTGACTTGCACATATTTGGTACAGTTATTATTATTATCATCATCACTACATTGACCAAACATCATGTTCGAGTTGTTAACGCTTCTGTTTCGTATTTGGGATGTCCCAGGTCCAGATCTCAGCCCGGAGACCGGCTATCCTGGCGGATTTTTTTATGGTTTTACTTAGTCCCTCCAGGCAACTGCCTGGATAGTGCCTTAAATTAGGCTGACTGCTTCTTTCCACATTCTTTCTGATCCATTATTCACTTCCCTGTCATTTGATGATGTAAAATCTTCTTCTTCTTCTTCTATGGCTCTTTGGTCCGTATTCAGTCCATGGCCTCCTCAATTCTCCTCTTCCATTCGGTCCTATCCTCCACCTGTTAGGTCTGTGTCCGAGGCTTTGATTGAGGTTTTGAAACATCTTCCTTTTTACGGTGCAACATTGTTAGCCTTACGACCAACCCCCAACCTGGAGGACCAGGTTACATGTCTTAGTCTGACCTCTCCCCCTCGAGCAATCTGGCTAGGGAGGTCCTATGCTACCGCCTGCATAGCTCTTGGGATCACTGAGGTAACTCAAGCCCCACCACCGCGACAAGGTGCAGGTACCATTAAGTGAGGCTGTAGAGTCTTAGCTACTGAAAAGTGTTGTTCAGTAAACTATTAACAAATAAATAAATGCACTTCATTGACTCACTGGGCTGGCTTTTATAGAGCTGTCACTTGGTGCTCTGTAATTTTAGGGGTTAATTATTAGCAAATCAGTATTATTTTATGTCTTGTATCTTGACGGTATTTTATTTCTTATATTAATTTTAGGTTATCTTATTAAGGGCAAATTTTTGTTCTGTTGACCTCTGCATACAAAAGATAAAGAAAAATAAATTGTTAAACATTTATAAACTTCCACTAAGATCATCTTGGACAGTAGTCATGTCAACATTTAGCAGAAAAGTGGTGTTTCAGAGACTTGCTCTGTCTCTGTCATTGGGGTTGATACATTTATGCTGAACGTGATACATGCACCTCTAGCGATGAAGGCATGTATTAAACCTGGGTGTGGTTTGAAGATTATGTCAGATGGATGTTCGAGATAAAAGGTGTGAATGTGGGGCTGGATTGAACTGGCCGAGTGTAGGGTCAGATAACAGACATCTATGAATGTGGTTATGAACCATTGGGTTCCTTAAAAGAACCTCTGTGACTTGGAGTTTTAAGTTAAATTGTACCTTGATGTTGTGAAGATAAGATAGTTCTGTGTTCTGTGACAGTAGCCAAACGGTGAATTTAGTGGCTCTCAGATGCCCTTGGATTTTGCTTCAGTATACTGTCCTTCAACATAAATACAAGGTTTTACTTATATGTTTTTAATGCTTCATTTCTATTACTTATAATCTGATTGCATCTCTCATACAGTATGCCTTAAATTTTTGCCCAGTTTCTCTAGCAGTTACAGTTATACATTGTTTCTAGGCATCATGTGGTTTCTCAGTGAATGTTAGTTGTTTTTGAATGAGGTTAGAAAGTTCTTCATGCCCAGGAACTTTCCAAAGGAAGGATGCCGTAGTTGTAGCATTCTGAGGGCCCATCAGCTTTAGCTAACAGTTTTTGGTTCTTATTCTTAGGTTAGGTTGGGTACTTTTGTTTATTGCAGAGCTTTGGGCTTGTGTCAAAGAATCCAGTATTGAAGAACATCACCGACTATTTGATTGAAGAGGCTTCTGCTGAAGAAGAGGAACTTTTGGGACATACCGCTGATCAAGAGGAGGGGCAGCTCGGTGATGATACAGCCAGTGTCGAGAGAGATGAAGCACTTATTAAGGTAGACTTCACTTTCCAAAAGAATCCTGTGATTGCAAATAAAAAAGGTGTTTCAGTAGTTCTTGCTTAAATGCTTTCCTGCCTATAAAGTTAAAATCATTGGGTCTCAAAAGTACCATCATAAGAGAAATGTATTTATAACCCTTCTTACATAAAAATACCCCACCTTAGAAGCACAATTTAAAGATACATATCAAGCAATTTACCCTCTTTTTTAATTATAGAAATTAAAACAAAAGTAGGGGCACACATGAATCAAACATGTTACAAACACACAGCAGCACTCCTTAGTACTTAGTGAGTGGTACGAGGTAGGCAGACTTGGTTGTGACTTTCTGACCATCTCCATTCATCCGCCTAAAGTTTGTAGCCACGTTATAATCTGTAGCTGGTATCGTGGTCTTTGTGTACAAACGATGAACACTAGTGTTGAATCTCATGAATAGTATGTAACAGAATAGAACAAAAATTAAGTAACCATTTCCTCACTATCACAAAAGTAGTTAAATGAAATACGCTAGTAATTTTACCATTAGAAACATAGAAAAAGAAGTCAGTGTTTTTTAAACATGATTAGTTTGTAAAACCAAAACACCAATCCTACAGACCAATACCAAAAACAGTAAAACACTCAACAAACAAAATGGCATCCAAACAGAAGTAACTAACTAACTAGATGGCTTACCGAACTCGAAGGTTCATCACCGAATTAACCAGAGCCCTCCACCGGACCCTGTCCTGGGCCAACAAAATCCAGTCTCCTTCAACTCCTATCTCCCATAGATCCCACCTGTCATTATCTTCCCATCTACGTCTAGGTCTCCCAAGCGGTCTCTTCCCCTCAGGCTTCCCAACATGAATCCCACAGCACCCACACTACGTGTGACAGTGAAGGTACATGAAAATACCATTAGCCTAGTGAACTGGAAGTATTCACCTTGTAGCAAAATTTCGTACTAGAACCCTGAAAGAAATTATGAAGGTCTCATACGTACACAATTTTAAGGATTCTATTCAGCTAATAAATGATCTAAGTAACATGCTATTGATGAAAATGCTAGTTTGCAATAATATAAATACCACAGTAGCACACGGTGTCACTCGTCTGGCCTTAACTGTGTATCCAGTAATTTTGTGCCGGGGTGTATGCTCGTTGGTAGCTACCCGACTTTGAAGTTAAACTGTGTACTTGTGACAGGTGTTAAAATTTGTAACATAGTGGTTCCTTTTCAGTATATTATAGGTAACATACTACCTCCCCCCCCTCCCGCAAGACGTGTGTGTGTGCATCTGATGTAGTGTTATGCCCTTTCATTGCAAATCTCCAAAGATCACACGCCACAAAAAGTCTTGCATTTTTGCTTTAATTAAATTAAAAACAAAGAAAGATATCAGAATCTGAAATTAATCTTGCAAGGAATAATTTAGTAAATATGTATATTCTGTGTGAGACTTCAGGTTCTCGTAGTGATGAGTATGAAGATGGCTGTCTTCTGGGATGCTGCTCCAAGCAGTCTGGTAAAGTTTACCGACATTTTAGAGGTGCATATTGCCTCTATTATCATCACCCTGATGATGGACATAATAGGTATACCAGAAGACAGCTCTGTTAGCGACATCTTTCCACTCCTGTTGAATTGAGGCAGAGGTGCTTGTTAAATGGCAGTCATTGCAGTGTGTGCTGGTTTCAGACCATTTGCTCTGTTTTACAGGTGTTGGATCGCTTACTGTTTTATCTGCGTGTTGTCCATTCTGTGGACTATTATAATCACTGTGAATATCCGAATGAAGATGAGATGCCAAATCGATGTGGCATCATGCATGCACGAGGTATTCCACCGTCATCAAAAGTAAGTCACTTATGGATATTAGTATATATTACCTTGTTCAGTGGTTCCCTGCCTAACAAAACATTTCTTACCGTAGGCTAAGGAAATAGCTGACGGGGGGGGATTGGGGTAGGAAGAATCACGCTCAAAATGCTTATAAATTGGTGTCACTGATTGGCTGAAGCTTACCGATTGCACTCAGGAGTGCTTGGATTGGCTGAAAGTGGTGACTGTGACTTTGTAAGCAGTTTATTATGCAGGAAAAATGCATTGTGTGAGTCAGTGGGAGGCCTGTGAGTGGTTGTTAAATGAAAATTTGTTATCCTATGACTTGTGCACTGCATATGAATTTGCATGTTTACCTGTGTTCTTATATATTGATGGCATTGAATGTATTCTTTTAAAAGTGTTGTGGGTCTTTTCATGTAATGCTGTTTTGTGCCCCCGCCTCTCCTTTGTCAGTACAAATAATCTTTTACAGAGGTTACACAAGAGATTTTGTACGTTTTTATCTGAAAAATAAATTAATTTTTACTTGTTGCATAATAATGATGAACTTGGATCTCTTAATAGTTACAGGTAGCTCAGCAGGAGATCAGCGATTATTGCCGTACTTTTGAGCAGAAAATTGCTTCATTCTTGCAACCAGTAACAAAGATCACAGATGAAGAATACAGCAAGCTAGGTCACAAAGACCCTGATGTGTATCCTTTAAAGTTTTTATCCAATAAAATGAGTGGCACAGTAAAGCTTAGGTCAAAAGATATTTTATTAGTCTTAAAGTTTACACTGCCTTATATCTTACAGTACACTTCCTTATGCACCAGTACTTCTTTTCTCGGCATTATCTGCCATTTCAATGGCGAGGAATGCCTAAATTAACTCTTAACCAGTAATGTGTGGTCTTGGAGACCACAGCAGAAAGTGTCCTTTTTCTTTTCACCTTTCTTTATGTCTACTGGTATTTTCTTCACTCCCGCAGTCCTTTCGGCACTGTTTGTGCGGGAGAAATTTAGTTTGGTGAAGGCCTAGGAGACTGCGTGTCACTGGTTTCGTGACTTGTGAGTTGGACACTTTGGTCAAGACCGTGAGTAATCGTGTGGGAGAACTTGCTGTGTCCACCATCCAACAAAAGAAATCCATCGCACATGTTTCTTGCGCAATAAACCTGTATGTTGAGACGGCACAAAGAGAATTTAAGTCAGAATGAAGAGGAACATTTTATTTTAAATATATTGTGCCTTTCAGAAGATCCCTATGATGAAAAATTGAAACATGATTATTATGATTTCTGCAATCTTGACTGTTAATCAGAGGGTCTCTGTTAAATGTGTTGCAATGTTTTGCAGAGAGAGAGAGAGAGAGAGACGGCCATTAAATCCTCTCCTTTGATTGGCACATTCAGTAAATTATCGTGATAAATGCTGCTGGGTAATGAAATTGATGGGGCATGTACGGCTAAGTCAGAATGCATACAAAATTTTGGCTGCAAGACCAAAGGATGCAGCTATTTGGGAGACTTTGTTGTGTTGAGACTGGTATCATGCACAGGTTATACAGCTGTGATGAATTTGTCTTAACATGCATGCCCATTTTAATACACTGTATAGACACATCAGCTGACTCTCAGACTTTCATTAGCTTTCCAGTGTTGTGTCTCATTCTTGTAATTTTAGTATTTCATAGTCTGTACCAAATTTTATAGATTAGCCATGGTTTCAAATATCATGCAGATTGCTCAAACTGTGCAAACTTTTTTAGTGTGGGACAGTGTTTTAAGGGTAGCAGTTTTGTGCTCCATGTGTTCCTTAACCTACAACTTTAGTGAGGTGGAGAAATTCATTCAGGCAAATACACAGGAATTGGCTAAAGACAAATGGTTATGTCCACTGTCAGGAAAGAAGTTCAAAGGCCCTGAATTTGTACGCAAGCACATATTCAACAAGCATGGAGAGAAAGTTGATGAAGTTAAGAAAGAGGTGAGTGTAATGAATGATTCATGAGCATAATGATGTGTAAGGAGAATTTTTATTCAGAAATTGTTTGTTACATAGAACACTGTAATAGAATTTCTGTTTATCAAAGGTAATGTTAAAAATATAGACATTTTTTGAAACAAATAGATAATAGTAGTCCTTTGAATTGTTACAGTGAAATCCACGTGTAAGGTTCCTGTGTGGAACAGTAAGCTTAGGAAAGTTTTATGTAGTGGAAATTTAATATTGGTGTTGATCTCGTGTGAGGCAAACTGCAAATCTAGGAACACTAAATGGGGTTCCCTCTGAAAAGTTATTGATGAATGGTAGGAAATCTCTGGTGATTATGTAGTTTATCATGAGGTCTCACTGTTCTAATGCATTTCAAGTTCTTACGTTGTTGTTCTGAGATCAGAACTTGCTCAAAAATGTTTTCTCGGCCTTGTAATTAAAAGATTCTGAAAGAAGGAAAAAATAAATACAGTTAGGTTTGTGTGGGTAAGTGTGGTAATTGACTGCAAGTTAAATGTTTGTATTAATGTCGTAGCTGATTTCATATTTTATGCCTTAATGTATTTTCAGGTTGAATACTTTAACAACTATCTGCGAGACCCGAAACGACCCCAGTTGGCCGAACATCCTGGTAATCGTCAACAAAGGAAAGAGGGGACGAGTGAACGGGAAGGCTTCTCAGCTCCTTCGCCGTATGTGCCTCAGTAAGTTCAGTGCAATATTACTTTCTGTATGCAGCACAGATGAGACAAATAATGACTGTGATTTCCAAACTGAGGGCCCGTGCACTGATGGCAGTTCCAAGTTTCAGGAGGAATATCTGAAAAACTCTTCTTCATACGTCTTTGCCCATAGCTGTCTTGGAAAGAGTTCTTGTTTTACTGCATCACGTGACGGACACGTGGCTATTAGTGCATCACTTGCTTTAGAAAAAATATGAGTTGCTCATCTAAGCACCTGGAGGTTATTCATGTGTGTGTAAATCTGCATCAAGTTAGTTGTTCATACACAAGACAGATTATTTTTGTGTGGCATTCATTTAAAACATTTAGTTTTCTTTCATTTATTTGTGAGGTCTGAATCCACACACAGTTTCTTTTCATGTTGTCACAATCAGGCATCAGTTATCCACGCTGAGAAAGTTGATAATTTTTAATAATTATGTTATTTTCAGATTTTACGAATTTATGTTAATGTTAGCTTATGTTTAATTAAGAATTCTATTCAACACTAAATGAGCTTATGATTTTTCAAACACCGTACTCTAAGCAGAGAAAATGTAACAGCCAATCCTGGTAATATTATGCTACTTCCACTTGGGGGGAGGGGGGGGGAGTTCCTCTTACATAGTACCATTGTAAACCTTACAAAATACAGCCACTAAAATGCATCACTTTGCTTTGCTGTGCATGAAAAATTACAATTTTATTTGTAAAATATTATGTTCATGCAGTACAGTTCTGTCCTATGAGATTCCAGACATAAGGGTGCGATTGGAATGACACAGTGTGTTGCACATATGAATAGTAAATGAGCCTGTCACAATTCCCTCATTAATGTGTTGGGCTAGAAGTGGGGGGGAGAAGCAGCCCTTAACAAGGGCCTCTCAGGGTCCATCAAGTAGCTCACCGGACAGAGGGAGGAGGAGAACTAGGTAGTTCAGAAACTACATAAACTCTGTTTTTGCAAACAGGTGGAGGATTTAATTTGATATCTGTAACTAAATCTGATTCAAAGATAAATTTAGAAAACTGACCAATTCTATTAGAAAATTCGTGGAAAAGTGTATAATTGAAAATTTAAGGGACCAGAAATTTAGAATATGGGGGCTTGGAACCATTTGAAAGTTCATGTCAGCCGCTTGAAATTGTACATGAGATTTGTCTTAGTTGCCCTCACATTTTGTCATATGACCGTGTGTTTCAGTTATCAGTACAGTTACGGTGGACGACATGCAGCATACGGTGGTCATAACTATGGTGGTGGTTATGGTTACAATGCAGGCTACAACCAGGGGTACTCTCGTCCTAGTCGAGGCAGCTTTAACAGGGGCAGGTACACAAATTATTTTATTTAATTGTATCTTTAGTGCTCATTTAAGATTTTATAATAAAGGCAAAATTAATGAAATGGATAGAACAGAAGGAAATTTAACTTCTTATCCTTTTTTTTTAATGCATTCATGACTTTCTTTTAATGTATATTTCCTTGTATCTTTCTATTCGAGATAAACAGCAGTTTGTTACTTTTTGTTATTAATAGGATGGGGCCCTTTTCTGTCTTGATTTTTCAGGTCTTCGACACATGATTCTGCCAATCGTCCAATTGTAGCTTATAGTGATCTAGATGTCCCAGATATTGCAGAAATGTTCTGACATTACGAAGTTATGATGTTACTGTAGAAAATGCATAAGTAAAACTTGTTTAGATTAATTTTGTGTGCCATGTCTCCCCAGGTTTTCATGCACGTGTTATCATGTATCGCTTTTACATTTTAACATCAGTCACAGTCCTCAGAAATTTATTTTATAACCCAGAGTTGAAAGTTAATCTAAACAACTCCCAGCATTCGAGAAGGAACCCACAACTTAATAGATACAGGTTGTACTACTGATCATCTCATCATCAGGACATACAATGTTGTCACGCGGTGGCCAGATTTTTTTGTATGCCATCGTCATATATGCACTGGTAATAAATCACTTATTATGTAATTGGTATTGGGCATAGTTTCAGTAAACGATTTTCCCCATCTTCTCTGTAAATAAACAGAGAAGTGGATATGCATGATGAGAGAACAGTGCGATGTGTAATGTTTGATGAGTGCTGTTTCAGTATATCTGTCACTCATTTTGAAATGGGTTTAATGCTCTCTGCACCCAGAAAAGCTTTTATGCGTAATTATTTCACAGAGTTTGAATTAAATAAGTGGCAGATTGGTTATATTAGGTTTTTGTGGCATCTTTTTTGACCTGGTCCAGTGGCGAGTTTTGGTACTCTTTTCACGTTGTGTGGCACAGTAACCATTTTGTGAATAAAAATTGAAGAGCTGCTGTAATCACCCATAGTGTTAAAAATTATGCTTGGGTCATATGAAATAATTTATTTAGATTTACCTGCCTTCCAAGGGTCTGGGATTTGTAAATTGGCTCCGCCTCCCTATTTCTGAAGGGTGCAACAGTCTAACTAAAAACTTTGCTTCATACCAGTTTAAAACAAGAAAATTATCAGGCATCATCTAGATGTGTGCATTCCCAGAGCAATAGTGTATGTTGAGTCGCATGTGCAGCCCTACTCTGGTGATAATGATCGGCATGAATGCTGAATGACACTTCTTCCACTTCATTTTGCCAGGTTGCACCCAGTTTTTCAAAATATAGGACTGGGAGTAGAATGACGTTGGCTGTTTTCAAATCTTAGTATCTGATTGTATATTTTTAATTTTCTTGAACCCATATAATCGATTGTTGGTTTAGAAAGTTCAAGGAAAAAGGAAAACCACAAAGCAAGACCAACTACATGATTAGGAAGCAGATGGAGCTACAAGCACTTCATGTGTCAAACAAAGACAATTATGAAAGAAATGGAAATATGATGGCAGGTATATCTAATTTAGATTTGTGTGTGTTGATGCTTCAAAGAACCTGATGATGCCCAAAGCATATGTTATCAAACTTTAGGGAACAAATTAATTGTTTCCACAGATTACATCATCAAAAATGTTCATTGTAAAGTCAAAGCTTTTGCATTTCTTAAATGTAAACGTGATGAAATGAAACATTCAGAAACTAATCTGCCATTAGTCATTAAAGGTGAACTCTTTGGAGTACATTGAAATTCCAGCATTGGTATTCATGCCATGTCATGGTTGTCGGCTCGAGCGAGATGACCAGGGAAAATACAAATGCAGCAGTGGGATTCAAGCCCATTGACATGACTACCACCGCAACATTGACTTCATTATCACATTTCAGTAATATGATGCAAGATCATTATTGCAGTGGCTGACCCATGGGTTGCCACTCCCTGGTGGTTTAAACCATTGCATTTGTAGCCCAGTGGCATCCAAGCCTAACAGGCAAGGGCTGGAGTGAAGTAGCACATGAGAAATGAAGCTTGGGGGCAGATCCCCTGAAGCAGCAACCATAGAGAACAAGAATGCTGGGTAGACGGAGAACGGCAGATGCCTTGCGTAGAAGACGTAGTTTTGTGTGTACATGTGATGCATTAGTAGCCACTGTATCATTTGTCGTTAAGTTCATGATGTGAAAAATATTCCAAACACACTAAAAATGGTGTTAGATGCAGTTGTGAGATAGTAAATTTTATAAACTCAAGACCATTGAATTCAAGAATGTTCAGTGCACTTTGTGATTACACAAAGCTACTGCTGCACGCATAGATTTGACGGTTATTACAAGGCAAAGTCTTGGTTCATGTATTCACACTGCCCTCAAAAATTGTATTTTTCACTGTTGACAGTCCTTCCCAGTAATAGGAATGGATTGCATGACTTTTTGACCACTCTGTAGGTTTGGTGCAGATGATTGTCTTCTGGGATAATGCTTCATATAGTCTGGTAGACATTTACTGACGTTTCAGAGGTGCTTATAGCGTCCATCACTAGGTTTAATGCAGGACATGACATGAGGATACAGATTTCCAAAATAATACTTTACTTCAACCACTCTGTAGCCAGCAAGTAGGTCCACCTATCACATAATGCAAGTACATCATAAACATAAACTGGTGTGGGTTTAATTTAACTTCCTAGTGAAAAATGAGTACTTGAAAACATAAATTTTCATTTAAAGGTTCCCACAAAATTGTTTTATTACCAAACAGTTCGACAGCAGTAATGAGTTTCAGAACTATTGGTTTATTAGATGCCATCCAGTGCTTTAATGTTGTTTTGCTGTATAGTGAGATATTCATATCAAAAAGTTAAAGGTGAAAATGATGGTTTTAGAATTTTTCAAATTCAGTTTAAATGAAGCAGCCGATAAGGGGCAAGCCGTTGAACCCGCCTATTCACTAAAGAAAATTGTTGAAAAATGTGCTTCTTTTGGCATCTTTATTGCATTCAGTGAACCCCAGTTTCATTGAGAATGTGTACTGAATATAGAATGACTGCTACATTACATTCAGCTTCTTTGAGAATCATGTTGAAGAAATGGCTTTTTCCTAGATGCGTTCGTATCTTCAGCATATGAGAATTTGATTTCTATTTTGTTTTTAAGAAAAAGAAAATTCAATTTTCTTTAATACCAAGTTGCCAGATTACCAGTGTTGCTGTCATATTTGTTTATAATGGTTATTAATTTATGGTTACATATTTAATTACTTCTATATCAAATTATTGAAGTGATATACATTTTAAAGAAGTTACGCCATTACCGTTAATAATAAAGGTAAGGTAACATTGTACCTGTGTCTTCGCGTGAAACTGTGATGACCCTTGGGGGAGTGAAGGTGAAGTTACACATTTTAACCACACCACTAGATGGAGGTGAATCGTCTTCCACACTCATGCTAGTTTACCCGTGGTGCATACTTCGGTATATATTGTTTGGAAGGGTGGGCAGTCCTCAGCACCAGTTACAGTGTTATAGCAGAGATAGGAATACTTCACCACAGCAGGGGTTCGAACCCCAGTGATAAGCCCATATTGAATCTATTTATTGAGTTATCTTTGCTCTCATTTGTAAAGCATACAAATATTTCGCCTGTATTTTTTGTGAAAACAAAATTTCAGATGTTATGAGAAGCATTTTTTCCTCTTTACATGTGGGTTATTTTTGCTGATGCTTAAATAATAACGAATATTTCATTTGCTTTAGAGTATCACCATTTTGATTACACAGTATTAGTCATTGAGGTCATTGACATATTACTATTAATATTTTTGAAATGCTGAACATTTGTACAAAGTTGGGATTGAAATTTTTATGCCTTGCGAAAGCACTCTCGCTCTCTCCTTTTTTTTTTCCTTTTCTTTCTCTCTCTTTTTTTTTAAAAAGTTAGTTGCTCAAAAAGTAGCAGTGAAATCAATTGAATCTGGCCCTTTATGTTTTAAAAGTTGGAGCCTAAAGTTCGGTGAAGATGTTTGGCTCGTGTAGTATTTTTATTTTCTTTTGTATTGTGTTGCTGACTTCATATGATATTAAAAATATGCGAGATGTGTGGTTTGACACTGAAAGCATGATGTGTGGAATTTAGAAAACAAAATGAAGAGAACTGTGGTTTATTGTGTACTTACTTCTTCCTTCCTGT